GCTGACAGGTTGGCTAACAGGTTATTGGGGTCGTGGGACTGGAATCAGACGCCTACAGCTCGTTTCTACCCTGAAGCCTCGGAGCTGGTCGATCCGGTTCTGACTGCCGGTATCAGTTCACAGATGTTCTGGTTCACACAGCACAGAAACACAATCTCTTTTTTTTTTTCTTTTGCAGTGCAGCAGCTCGACTTCATTCACCACACACACGTATCATGAGAATTACAAAGCTTGGTTTTGACTTGTGCTATTTGCAGGACTGCGTCTGTTCAAGAACGAGATTAAACTGAAAAGGAGAAGAGTTCAGATGTTCATCAGTTTCAGAGCTACGAAGCATCAGTCGACTGTATAAGAATCACTGAACAGGAAACGGAGAAGCAGCAGCAACCTGTAACTCTGCACTGAAGAGACGTTTCATAGGCTGATAAAACTCTGCACGTCTGAGACAAACACGTATTTTCTATGAAGTAAAAAAGTGCAACATGAAAGCATCCTACCAAAGCTGAAGCACGGCGGCGGCAGCATCATCATCTGCCTGGAAAAATGGTTCTTGGGTTTGTCAGGTGTCTTACAGGTAAATGTCAGGTTGGCTGTGGAGCTGAAGCTCAGGAGAACTTGGGTGAAGCAGAAGGACCAAGATCCTGAACGTTGAGGTAAAGTTACAGAAAGCCCAAACTTCGGGTGTCAGTGTTGGCTTCTCAGCTCTTCGTACCTTCCAACACTTTAAAGCACACAAGCTAGCGTACACATTGTCATCACTTGTGGACTATTTCCACATCCGCTTGATGGATTGGGGCAAAACCTCATCGTAGATACATCTCAGTGTCGCTGAGGATACTTGGATTGACACAACGTGAGACGTTTTTATTAAACTCAAGCACAAACTTTATTCTGTTCATGATTAAACACAGACACAACATGAGCCTCCACCAAGAAGAACAAAAGCCACATCTAACATCCAATAATCTGACAGTTAATTAACTTTCTGTAGTTTGTAAATCAAAGCCATTTAAGCCCCTTAATCATAGAACATCATCAGCTAAAGCCGCCAACACGTACGATGGTGATAACGCTCGAATGCCTGCTGCACTCTCCAGATTTGACTTCTTCCTCTTCCCAAAATGAAATTCAAGTTGCAGATTCACCGTTTCAGGAGGCGAAGTTTACAGTGAAGGACCGAGGAAGAAGCGCTGCAGGAGCACTGGGAGCAGAGCAGCTCTGCACCAGGAGACTACCGTGGCAAGATTTAGGATTTCTGTACGCACAGACCCATTTACACTTTTAATGATGAAAGAAATGAAAAAACAAATCCAAAAAGGCCAAATGACTCTCACGACCTCGAGCCTCACTCGTGATCTTTGGTTTCCATTAAAGATTTTAAAAGTGATTTTATTCCAGGAGACGAGATGCTTCTGAAACCTGGTTTGGTTGGAGGTTTGCCAGAATCATTGTTCGACATCAACAGGAAGTAACTCGACTCCGCTGCACTGTTGGATGTTGTTCTGTTCAGACGTACGGAGCAGACTGGAGCGTTGGGGAGGTTTGTGGACGTGAAGTTCTTGCTTTAGTTCCTTCTTCATCTCTTTGGCACTAACAGAAGGTTTTCCTCAGTAAACGTCTGACACCGGGAAGGTTTTAACGGCTGCAGCAGGAGTTCAGCTTATAAAAAGTCCACATGCGTGAACATTCACAGTTATGCTGAAGCATTTTGATCACAGCTGTTTATCTTCTGCTCAAACTGATCACTCTAAAGCGCCGTGTCAGCTGCAGGTAGGAACATTCATCGGCGTTCTTCAGAACAACACAACCTAAGACAGTTTCCAGGCCAAAAACGAGGAGTTTCCTGAAGCCAGATCTTGTCAAACATCGGTATTTATCCCACGTTTCCTCTGAAGCTGCATCTAGCTCCAGATGAGCACAAACAAAATCTACGTATATGTGATAAACTACAACGACGGAAGGTGCTGAGAAGCGGTTGTATAATTAAGGCAGAGCCGGTCATACTGTGTATAGAGTCAGGAAATAAAAGTAATCAGTTTAAAACTAGCAGGACTAATCAGGCTTCCTTGATTCATTGCGATGTTTTGTCCTTTTCTTGCTGTTTCTCAGCCTGAAGATAATCAGAAACCTTTAAAATCCACCTGAACATGAGGCCAAGAAATCATCTTTACTTCAGAAGAAATTCAGCCAAATCTCAAACCAAAAAGCTACGTTCAGGAGATTTAAACATCCCACCAGCTCCACATGATTTAGATATGAGGGTCGTTCCATCCAACATCACCAAATTAGAGACTTTTTAAAAAAATAAATTTTTTAACATAAAATTATCGAAAGGCTTTTGTGAATTTTTTTGGTTTGACGCATCAGAAACTTTCAAACATAATTTTTAGGGAAAAAAAACATTCTGCAGCTTTTTTCACACATTAAAATTAGAAACGGTTTGAACAACAACATCTCAGGAACTGTTAAAGAACGATTGTCATCCTGTTATTGATTCAGAATACGTAATATTGATTTTTTTTTTAAAAAATGAAGTGGATATGGAATAACTCGTGAAACAAAGAAAAATGTATGGATGTATATTTGGCAAACGATTAATCTAAAAGATAAAAAGAACGAGGCACACAGGTTTCATTTCCCTCACATCGTCTTCTCTTCGTGCTTCTTAGCGGACCATTGCTGCCAGCATCTTCTCCATGTTCTGCTGGTGGAGAGCCGAGGAAGGAGGGATGTCGTCGCAACTCAGCAGCTGCCGGGTGGACGACTCCCAGCTCAAGCCGAACTCCAGCCGGCTGTAGATGCAGGGGTACTGCCGGTCCCCCCAGCAGACCCAGTCCACCGCCCTCTTCACCGCCTCCCACCGCGCAGACCTGCAGGAGACACTCGGCGTTACCCGAACATTCGTACAGCGACTGACCACGAAATCATTATCTAAGAAAACAAAATCACAGATGAACGAGGTTCCGCTAACAGAAAAAACACGAGCCCCGAAATGACAAGAACTGAGAATATCTACAAGCTTTTAACCAGTTTTCTTGCTTCTGGCTTCATTTGCTCGGGCATAATAATTATTTTTGTTCATGAAAGGTCAGAAATAATAATCAATTCATGAAAAGTACGACATTCAGAGGAATTTCCTGTCTTCTTTTTGCTTCTGTTGAAACTGATTATTAGTTAGTACTCAATTTAGTTTGACCCTCTCAACCCCAAAACGCTCTGGCTG